GTAGCTTTACAATTCGCCGAACGATAAACAATGCAATTTGTTGCTACAAAGAAATGTATGAAGAGAAAAGGCCAAAGAAGAAAAATGCACAGACATCAATATTGCAATTGTCAGAGAATAAAAATGAATTGCGAAAAACGTGATTTTTTTAAATTATTTCTAATAAAGATATTTGAATTTATTAATCACGTTTTATTTATTGAAAAACGGATTTTTTTTAACCAATTATCATTTTTTGTATGTATTTAGTTCCTCGATTAGTCCGGTTTCAAACAGTCCGGTATATTGGCGGAACCAATTACCCGAACTATGCGAGGTATTGCTGTATGGTATTTGCTGTGGTATTTTTCAAAACAAGAAATTCATTAGCTAAGACTTCACACGTTCCTTATAAAGCATAAAGGCCTTGATTTGAAAACTTCCTATAACAGTCACTTCCCCGTAAACATTGCTCATTTTGCCAGTAAGGAACTTCTAATGGACACAATAAAGTTCCACCAGTGTAAAGAGATTTCCCAGGTTCAACACATCTGTCAAGTGGACAATTTTCTCAAGAAATTTATGTTATGTTTATGTTTATGTTATGTATGTTTGATGGTTCATATTGCAGATGGTGTTTTATATGCATTAGAACTGTTCTGCTCATACTGTTGAAGAACAATAAGTATTCTTTTACAGAACATTGCCATTCTGATAATATGGTTATCAGTAATTCACTGACTGTAGTGGAAGATTTGCACTCTACTTTCTTAAAATTGTGTTCTTCACAGTTCATATGTGTCAGTGCACCGTAAAAGTAATTTTTAAATTCCTGATCAACCAGACTTAGGTTATCTCAGCTATGGAGATTTCTTTCTTCAGAAAACATAATCTCTTAATATAAAATATGTCTAAATAAACAACAAAATACTCTTTGTATTATTTTGAATTACCTTCTTGTTGATGCTGAATTCTTCACTGAGGCTTTGTTTCCACATTTATTTCTAGATGTTTTTTGTAACTTCCATCCCTATGTATTTTACTATGGCACAAATCACAAATTAATTTTCTGGTAAGTCCAGGCCTGTGAAATAATCTTTCAAACTTTTCTCCAAATGTCTTCCTTGAATTCAAAGTATACTACCAAACATTCTTGCATATTCATTAACAACGGTGTCCTGCAAATGAAAATGAAAAATTACTGTTATTTAACTAAATTAGATATAAATATTATGGACATCTGTATTAATCAGAACCAAACAAATGAGAGCCTCATTATATACTCTTTTGTCCATAACCATGATTAACATACACTGCATTGAAGAGTAAAGGAGGAAATCATTACAAAATACCTTAAATATAAGGAAAATAGTCATAAAAACTTTTCATACTTTGGAAGCAGTGTCTGCAGAGCATTCAGAGGATATCACCTGAGGCTAAAGTGACCAGAACATGTGCTGACAATTTCATTTGCATCTAGTGCCAGCGAATAGAATACATGGAACTTTATCACCATGCTTCCTTATTCCTTTATTATGTGGTGCTTAGGCACAAAGACTATATACCTTTTATGCAGATTTTTAAACTGATCTAGTTCATAAGTGTGTCTGTAGAGAACAGTATATTTTTCTGTTATGTAAGAAAATCAGTTATTAATGGTAGAACTTATAACATCATCATCATCATCAGTAATCTGTCAAGATGACAGGTCCACAGTCTCTTCCAAAACAATTCCTCCACTTAATGCGATCTAGAGCTTTCTCCTTCAAATGACAGTATCTTCTTCTGTCCCCAAGGTCATCCAGCATCTTCTTACGTCTTCTTTCTCGTCTTGTCACTTCTATCCGCCCCTCTATCTTTCCTTCGATAACTTCTTTTAGAAGGCAGTTTCTGCGTAAAACATGACCAATCCAATTAGCCTTCCATTTTCTTATTTCGTGTAGGATATTCCTCTGCTCACTGACTCTAATTAACACTTCTTCATTTCTCACATAATCGGTCCAACTGATCTTCTCCATCCTTCTCCAACACCACATTTCAAAACTTTCCAGATGTTTCTGATCTACTGCCCTAAGTGTCCATGTTTCAGCCCCATACAGAGCTATGCTCCAAATGTAGCATTTCACTAGTTTCTTCCTCAAATTTAAGTCCAATTTGCTGGTAAAAAGATTCTTCTTCTTGCTAAATGCAGCTTTTGC